CCGTCTCCGTCAATGTTTTGGACAAGATTACCTTTGTTCACTGATGTGAATATTAGCCCTGTTTATCTTGATAATCTGAACGATACACAAGTAATTTGCATCTCGACATCTATGAGATAATCTCATGTCTACTCAATTTTATTTTAACTTTTACCCTATTAAGTGACATGATTGATTATATAGGTATGCTCAATACGGCGATGTTTCTCCAAAGATAGATGTTTACGCCTTTGGTGTCGTTCTTTTTGAACTAATATCTGCTAAAGAAGCTGTTGTCAGGACAAATGAATATGTTGCAGAATCAAAGGGACTGGTTGATTTGGTATTTTTTCCTGCTCTGCTTTCCAATAAGTAAAACCTCATATAAACGGTTTCCATAACTTGACTGACAAGAAAACGTACTTAATGTGATGCAGTTCGAAAATGTTCTTAATCGGTCTGATCCCAGAGAAGATCTTGGTAAACTAGTCGACCCCAGACTCGGCGATGATTGTCCTCTTGACTCAATCAGTAAGGTAAAATTCCACCCCTTAAACCATAAGATCCTAATCAATGACTAGTCCTATTTCTCATAAGCAAAGCAATGCTGGCTTTTCTGTTGCAGATGGCACAACTTGCCCAAGCTTGCACACAAGAAAACCCTCAACTGAGGCCGAGCATGAGATCGATTGTGGTTGCGTTGATGACACTTACATCGTCGAACGAGGACTGGGATGTCGGTTCAATTTATGACAATGAAGCTGATCTAGTCAATCTAATGTCAGGGAGGTAGTACATGGAACATCACGCTTGATAGACATGCCTAGACAAGGTGACTTCAGAAGAACAAAAGTCCTAATTCTTCTTCTTTCGGATTGCCAAGCATCTGCAGTATCTGTAAATAAGCATTCGCACCAGATGATTTCATCTCTTGTTTTGTATAATGGGGGTGCAATATGCATACTCCTAGCTGCAGAATAACATCGAAAAACGGCATTGTATATTACTTCATATAAATGTCAACATTTTGCTTCGACCCCCCATTGATCTTTAGCACATCATGTTCGTTGTGTTTATGTTTCCGTTTGATAAAATTTCATGTTCGACCATAATAACGTACTACTGGTGCTTCGTAACTCACTCTCTTCCCTTCTTCGATCAGTTGCATACATCGTATGATATTAAAACAGGAAGGAAAATTCTATAAGTATGAGACGGTACGAGGTTCTATCAGAAAAGGCCTCAATGCAATTAGCAGTCGACCACCTACTTTTAGGTTGTAGGTTGATGTGGGGAACCGCATAAATCTCAAATTGTTTGACATTAAACTCGAACTGGGAGGTCCAGAAACTGCATAAGCTGCCATATATTCATAGCATGGCATGCCTTGTACGCATGTTTCCTACATGCTTCTTACTATTTTAACGAGTTATTTCTGTATACATGTCACATTATAATATGATTTACACACAAAGAAACAACTAATTCTACATAACGTGGCTAAACTGTTTAACGCGGCAACGGATCTGCACAGAATCAAAATTGAAAGCTGGATAATATTGTACGCATGCTTTCTTGGACCGGCCAAAAGAAAACCTTACTTTCTTGTCAAAAAAGTCTCACAATGATTACAATGCTCCATTTGTAATTTTGCCTTGTATAAAATGTCAAATGGATGACTAAATTAAGCAAAAGTAAATGCAAGAATCGTATTCTATTAATATATATATAATACTGAATCCCAATGATGTGCCTACCATTCAGTCCAAAATTTGGAACTTTGGAATCAAATCAATTGATTATATATGGTGTTAAATTTAGTGTTAATTGACATGTTATTAATATTTGGATGTCCGCCTTGAAAATTACATGGTCATCTAATTAGCTCAATTTCTGTATCGTGAAAATTATGTGATCATTTTTTAAAATAAGGTTGTGTTGCCTAACATATGACCGCATGTTTTTCACGTGCTCGTTTTAGACGTAAACTAACAAAATTAACTAAAAAGACCACAAGCTTCTTACAACTATAAGTTTTATACAAAACAATAAAATTTAACTAGAAAAAATGTTCCTCGTTTATTCAATTGAGATTTTGAAGGATTTTAATGGATTTATAAATTCATGAAATTTGATGGAGTTTCATTGATTTGTAGAGATTCCATATAAAATTTTGATTCAATTCCCTCAAAATTTCAGAGAAATATGTAAGATTTGTGAATTCTTAAAATATACTATGAGAACTCTCTAGTCCTTCAAATTCCTCAACATTTTCAAATCTTTAAAATAAATTTCTAATTGAGTGTATCTTGAATATTATAAATTTCTTTAAAATCATAATTGAATACACTTAAATTTTTAAAGATTTTAACAAACTATCTTAAAAATTTCGATTAATTACATGTTGAATTTCAAATACTCGTTTGAAATCCTAACTGAATATTTCTAAAATTATTAAAAGAAATAAAACCTCTCAAAATCTGAATTGAATACCCCCGCCGTAAAAGATAATTTTCAAACTACCGAGTTCAAATCTCTTGAGCATTATTGTTGATTACGTGTATTCCACTAAGAAACTTTAAAAATTTCCTACCCGACATGCATCATAAGAAAATATACATTCTCTCCCCCCAAATAAGCAAGAAAGTCACAAGCTCCATTATCCTAAAGATATTACTTTATGACATTTTAGACTAAGATCCAAAACCAAAACGTCATAATTGTTGATATTTTAATATACCAACAAATAAAATCGTGCGTTACCACAAATATCATATCCTTTTAGGTCTTTGGTGTCATTGTGACATTTTTTTTTTCCTTCTGATTGTGACATTTTTGGGGCCCTTGTAAAAAATAATTCCATTTGTCCATGTCCTCTTAATCTGTCACACACCAAGAACCACAACCGTGTGAGAATATCGTTCCCGTTGCAGCTTGTCCTAATCTATACGGCGAGTAGCAAACGCTCAATTCACACGCTCACGACACATCATACTCCCTCCTAAAGTTTGCCTTCCCAAAAACGGAAAGGATCATCTTCGGATCTATTCCTTCTAATCCATCAAATCAGAGAATATGTGTCGTTAAAAATTGATCAAACGGCTGAAATTATTATAACTTTTAAATTGGAACCTTTATTTGTAATCGTTAGATCAAATTTTAATAGTACGGATCTCATGATTTGATGGATTAGAAGAAAAGTATCTGTAGAAAATCCCTTTCCCTAAAAAACAAATCGTCGTCAACCACTTCTCCTTTTATGTCTCTCATTCATTGCTAACCACTTCTCTTTTTTTTGTTTCTTTTTGCTCATAAATCGAGCAACGCTAAAGAAACTCTCTAAAAAATAAGATTTCCAATAGATTAATCGTTATTTTATATTTTTGACACAATTCACATGTCAATATTATAAAATATTGTACTAAAAATATGAGGTGACTGAGAATTCGTGAAAAATCTCACTTTGAGAGAGTTTCTTTAGCATTTCTTAATATATATTTTATTATTTCACCAAGAAAAAAAATATGTAGTACAGAGTTTACATAAATTCTCTTGCAATATCTATTTTTTGTCGTATATCTCTTTCTAATATTGAAAAGGAACTTTGTGGAGGTCTAATATCGAATCTTATTCTCTATAAGTTGGAATTTACACATCATCGGATTAAAAAAAAGCAACAAATCTAAAAGTACAAAAACTGTAACGTACAAAATTCACTCATACAACAAAGTCTGGACTCTGAATCACAACAATCAAACATGGTCTTAAGCAATACTTGTAAAATCCTGAACAACCAAAACCTTAAATTAATTAACATGTAACTCTAGCTAAATTGGTAATACCTAAAGTGGAGTGGCCGTCAAACCAAATACATTTATGGGGGTGTATTCAATTGAGAATTTGAGAGATTTTAATAGATTTATAAATTTTTGAATTTTTATGGAGTTTAATTGATTTGTAGAGATTCCATATAAAATTTTGATTCAATTCCCTCGAAATCTTATCGGGAGATGTGAGATTTGTGTATGCTTAAAATACACTACGAAATCTCTATAATTTCCTCTAATTCCTCAACTTTCTCAAATTCTTTAAAATCAATTTCTAATTGAATATACCAGGAATGTTATAAACTTCTTTAAAGTCATAATTGAATACACCCGGATTTATAAGGATTTTAAACTATTTTAAAATTCTAATTGAATACACTTTGAATTTCAGATAATGACTTAAAATCCTGATTGAATACTCCTAGATTCATTAAAAGAATTAAAATATCTCAAAATCCCAATTAAGTACACCCCCTTAGCTTGAGAAAGAAAAATATAACATAGGACGGATGCATAATACCATGCCGCTAATAAGAAAAATTTTGAGATAATGATTAGGGTAAGTTTTACACCAAATAAGATCAATTAACATTAACTTAAACCAAAATAAAATCAGTATGAAAATCTCGAATGAGGATCGTCTTCGGGTCTTCAATTGTATCCGTTTATTGTATATTGTGCGATCAGAAATCATTTTAAATGTTTTTATTTAAATTAAATATAAATAGTACCTGACGAAAAATGATAGCACGATATACGATGAACAGACACGATTTAAGGATTATATCCAGAGAATTCTCTTGGGAAAATCTCATGCCTATGCGAAGGCGACAGATACCTGTGAATGCCATGGGCAACCCCACCTTACCCTAATCTTTCTTACCCAACCAATGATTAATCTCCAACCAACCCACTCAATTTTGGTGGGAGCTGAACAGCCCCAACCACTTCCCAATGCAATTGGCCCGTGCTCTCCACCCCCACCAAACCGCGCGTGAACCCGCCATCGCCATCTTACAGTCCAGACACTCACATAAAAGTAGCCGTTGGACATCCCCACTGTCCGCACACGCCTTGCCGACATCGAACGATAAGTAAACGACGTTGTTATTAAGACTAATTTTGACTAAATCCAGAAAACCATACGGTATAAATTAAAACTGACGCTAACCAAACCGCTAAAACCACCACCCTCCTCTCTCTCTCTCTCCTCCCTCCTCCCTCCTCCCTCCTCCCTCCTCCCTCCCTCCCCAATTCTCTCTCTCTCTCTCTCTATCCTTCTCTCTCTCCGGAATTCGCATTTCCACAAAAAACGACATCCCACTGTTTTATTGCAATTTCTACTGTGCCCGGAATGCGATTGCTGGAGTTTGATTCGCCACTTATTTGTTAATTCTCTCAGTGGCTGTGATTCAAAGTTGCAGACTTTGCACAGTGGAAGCACATTCACATTAGCGTGAGTTCTGGATTTCCTTGGAAGGAGAGAGGAAAAGAAAGAAAGAAAGAAGGAATTATGCTTTCTTTGATTGGAATTTGAAGCAATTCGATCACTTTCCCATTCAACTTCCCCGATCCAAGAAAACCCTGGTTTGTTTTCTTTCCTTCTTTCATTATTTATTAATTTTACGGTGTTTTATCAGCCAAATTGTGAAGTTAAGTCTCAGTATTAGCCTTAAACCTGCTTAATTTGTATTAATTTGTTATAATTTGGGTTTTTATGCCTTAGTGTGTCTGTTAGTAATTGTATAGAATTTTCTGCAGCTATGTGAGAAAAGGCTTTGTACAGAATTTTCTGCAGCTATGTGAGAAAAGACTTAGAGTACTTGGATCTAACGGCAATGACGTTTTAGGATTCATATAATCGACCCCACTTAGTGGGAAAATGATTTGTTGTTGTTGTATGTGAGATTGAACTGATTTTTAATTTTATCTGTGTTTGATCCTAAGGCGATGGTTTTCCCGGGAATTGTAATTTTCTAAGAACAAGTACGGTGTAATTTCATCGTTCACATCGAATAAGTATTTAATTAATTTGTTCCTAACTTGTTTGTAGTTGTTTAAAGACTTAAGAATTGATCACTTTTTATGGAAAATATGGGAAAATGTTTTACAATTGATGGACTAGTGTTTGATTCAGAGACTGTATAACATGAACGAAAGACGGAAGTTTGTTCATATAATATTGTAGCCTTTTCTTGGTAAAAATGTTTTTGGTAGCATATGCATAGTTTTCAGAGTAGAATAAAATGTTACCATTTTGGCTGGACTGGATTGCTTTGCAATTTCGTAGTCCAGTGGTTACAAGGTTGTGAGAAATTGGGTTCATGGTTTTTGTTTCTCTGTGGTCATACTCGTTACAGGTTATTGAGTTGTAGGTTGTGGATAAATGGCTACGCTTGGAGATTTAGGGGTTGCAGCAGGCATCAATATTCTCAGCGCTCATTTTCTTTATAGTGTTTGCCTTTCTTAGGCTTCAACCCTTCAACGACAGGGTCTACTTTCCAAAATGGTATTTGAAGGGACTAAGGGAGAGTCCCACTCATTCTGGCGCGTTTGTGCGCAAGTTTGTCAATCTGGACTTCAGGTCATACTTGAGGTTTCTGAATTGGATGCCCGCTGCGCTGAGGATGCCAGAACCAGAGCTTATTGATCATGCAGGATTGGATTCTGCAGTTTACTTGCGGATTTACTTGATAGGGTATGCTTGTTTTTCTTATTCTTTTTTTTTTTCTTTCATCATGTACTTACTTCAAAGGCTTTGCGGTGATCGTATACTAATTTTACGTTTCACTTGTCTTTCTTATATGATTCCTCGCTTTCCCATCACATAAACTTGTTCTGCTTTAACTAAGCACCCATGCCCAAATTTCCCCTTGTAAATATAATTTGTTAGCTGATGTTTATTGCCTTATTCCCTTTTTTTCTTGTAGGCTTAAAATCTTTGTTCCTATAGTATTCCTTGCATGGGCCGTTTTGGTACCAGTCAACTATACGAATAGCACTTTGGATATGGAAAAGTCAAAAAATGTTACTTCAAGTGACATTGATAAGTTCTCGATATCAAACGTCCCAGAAAAATCGCAAAGGTTGGAAACCCCCCTTATCCATCTTAAATTGTCATTTTTAGATGTGTATGATAATTAGAACTCTGCCATTTCTGTAAAACACATGGTCCTTGGATATTTGGGCAACATAATAAATTCTATCGTATTAGCATTTAATTGTTTTTTTTCTGCAGTATACTCATCCTTTTTTTTAATATTAAAATATAAGAGAAATAAAAATGTGACTGTATTTCACAGATTCTGGAGTCATATAGTGATGGCTTATGTCTTTTCCATTTGGACATGCTATGTGCTGCTGAAGGAGTATGAAAAAGTTGCCAATATGAGGCTGCATTTTCTTGCAACAGAAAAACGCCGACCAGATCAGTTTACGGTGAGACTGATTGTGTGCTCGGTATACTTCAGATTATTGTACTTGCAAACATTTTCGGACTTAGTAATGTGGTACCTTCATATTTCAAACATTGGAGGTTAGGTGGCGGCTTTGATTTCCTTTCTTGGAATAATTGATTGATACAGTGAACTTGGAATATTGTGGTGATACAAAAAGAGAGGATAAAACAACTCTGTAAGCCCGTGCTCGTGTACCAAACTAATTTCTTTGGTTTTTCGCAGGTCCTTGTCCGGAATGTTCCACCAGATGCAGACGAATCTACAAGTGAGCTTGTGGAGCACTTTTTTCTGGTCAATCATCCAGATCACTATCTTACACATCAGGTTTGTTTCTTAAATAAGAGAACATGCTCATGCAATATAAATTTAGCTTAGTGTTAATAATAGACTTCGAAGAGATATTTATTTGAAGAGGGAAATATGTTACATGCAGGTGGTATATAATGCCAACTCACTTGCGAATTTGCTGAAGAAGAAGAAGAAGATGTCGAACTGGCTTGTCTACTTTCGAAATAAACTTTCTAGAAGTGAAACTGCAACAAGGCCCTTAACGAAGGTACTTAAAATGCGCTCGTGCTGAAGAACTAAAATGTTTCCAGTGTTTAGGGTTACTTGTTAATTTCTGATTTAACCTTTATATGTTACTATCAGACTGGTTCTCTTGGGCTTTGGGGAAAAAAGGTTGACGCAATTGAGTATTATGAAACTGAGATTGACAAATTGACAAATCAAGTAAGTACAATTCCTTGAGTTCCTAGTTGAATCTCTATTTCCCCAGGATCTTGGTTCATTTGAATGCATTTTTCTTATTTTTTTTCTCAGATAGTTGAAGAAAAAGAGAGGGTCACTCATGATCCGAAGTCTATCATGCCAGCCGCCTTTGTTTCCTTTAAAACTCGATGGGGTGCCGCTGTTTGTGCACAAACTCAGCAATCCAGAAACCCAACTATTTGGTTAACAGAGTGGGCTCCTGAGCCACGTGATGTGTATTGGCCAAACCTGCCAGTTCCATATGTACAACTCACAGTCAAGAGGCTTATTATGGGCGTTGCATTCTTTTTTCTCACCTTCTTTTTCATGATTCCCATTGCAATTGTACAATCTTTTGCAAGCCTCGATGGACTCGAGAAAGTAGCTCCATTCCTAAAGCCCATTGTAGAAGTGTGAGTTGTTTCATCCTCGAACTTTTTAGCCCAGTATCTAGTTTTCGTTGTTCCTGATTACTAATATCATCCTGCTTTATATGCAGGAAATTCATTAAGTCAGTCATTGCAGGTTTTCTACCCGGAATTGCACTGAAGATATTTCTAATTTTTCTACCAACCATATTGATGATCATGGCAAAATTTGAGGGCTATATATCTCTGTCTTCTCTTGAACGGAGAGCAGCATCTAGATACTATCTCTTCTCTCTGGTGAATGTATTCCTTGGGAGCATTATTACTGGAACTGCGTTTGAACAGCTAGATTCTTTCACTCACCAATCAGCATCTGAGTACGTAATTCTTGCAGATAATTCTTTCTTTTTTTTAATATGTTGTTCACTGTCTCTTATTTTGGCTATGTGATAAAGAAAGCTGTTTTAATGTATTGCCTCAGATCATGAAAATTAAGTTTTATTTTATTTTCGCAGCATTCCAAAAACAATTGGTGTTGCTATCCCAATGAAAGCAACTTTCTTTATCTCGTATATAATGGTTGATGGATGGGCCGGTATAGCTGCAGAGATTTTGATGTTGAAACCGCTGATAATATACCACTTGAAGAATTTCTTCCTGGTGAAGACTGACAAGGATAGGGAGGAGGCCATGGATCCAGGGAGTATTGGTTTCAATACTGGAGAGCCTCAAATTCAGTTATATATCTTGCTCGGCCTTGTGTATGCTACGGTGACACCAACCTTACTTCCGTTCATAATCATTTTCTTTGGCCTGGCTTATGTTGTTTTCCGTCATCAGGTAAAAAGTCGGCATCAAATTATACTTCCGTTCTACTAATTATATCTTTTGTTGTAGGATATTTTTTTAGGAAAACTAATGAAAATGACTTGAAAACTTTGGAGTTTTAACGATAAGGACAAAATAAAGGGTAAAGTGAATAGTACCATGATTGACTTTTTAGTATTAAAATGTGGTTTTTCGTTAAAATGAACAGTACCGGAAGCTTTTCGTCAAAGTTCCCTATTTTTTTAACCTCTGTAATTTTTTTATGCTTCAAATGCAGATCATAAATGTCTATAACCAGGAGTACGAGAGCGCTGCAGCATTCTGGCCTGATGTCCATGGTCGTATTATCACTGCATTGATTATCTCACAACTCCTCTTGTTTGGGCTGTTGAGTACAAAAGAAGCTGCTTCATCAACGCCGTTTCTCATTGCACTTCCAGTACTGACCTTATCGTTCCATAGGTATTGCAAAGGTCGTTTCGAACCTGCATTCACGACATACCCATTACAGGTATGTAGGGATTCCACTTGTTGCCTCTTTCTAATCTACTCATCAAAATTATCATCATCGTTTAATTCTTTGTTTTTCGGGGTTTAGGAAGCAATGATGAAAGATACACTGGAACGTGCAAGAGAACCGAACTTGAATTTAAAAGGCTATCTTCAGAGTGCATATATTCATCCGGTTTTCCACGAGTGTGACGAGGAGGAAGACCATGAATCGTTTGAAAAGGAAGAATCTGAGAGCGTGATTGTACCTACAAAACGGCAATCCCGGAGGAACACCCCAGTGCCTAGCAGAATGACGGGTGGATCCTCGCCGTCTTTGCTTGATGTTGAAGAACTTGCACAGCCTTGAATTCCAAGTTGGAAATGTAGATTTCAGCTGTAAATTTGACTGGTAGAGTGTCTGTATAAGTGGAAGATAATGGCGTTGTCAATCAAATGAGCTGACAACGATGCACGAGAAGGGAGGACAGAGAGAGTCCTGAGTTTTTGTTGCTCGTTGTGCAAAGGAAGAAGACGAACCAGAAGACGGAAGGACAATGTAATTGTGTAGTTTGTGAAATACTGATTTTTGAAATGGTTTGTATATTAACTATCTTAGTTGAAATATCATATAGTGGAAGTAAGCATTTTCTTTATATAACTTGTGATTCACCCCGGCAAATAAAACCCACAACTAAAACGCGAACAAAACGGGAATATTTTTTCTCACCACCCTCAACACTCGTTCAAAATTTTCACTCGTTCTTCAAGAAAGAAAAGGAATAGATGACCAAAAATCCCTCTTATGGATCGCAACAATAGTTAAGAGTAGAAGTTCTCATTCATCATCTCTTTTGTTTTACCTTAAAACTACCGTTGATTCGTCGAATTGAAACCCCCATTAGATTCGGCAACTAAGGACGAGATTACCATAAGCTTTTATATGGTGATGTTCACCACCCTATTTATCATTGTTGGATGAGTTAAAATAGGCAGTGAGCATTATCATTACTTAAGGTTATTGTATTTTTTTTTACGAAAGATTTAATGATTAAAAATGCCAAAATATAAAATACACTTCAAATATAAATGCAGTATAAAATGTGCATGTAAAAAAACAATAAGTAGGGCAATTTCAAGTTACTTAAAATTTTAAGAAAGACTAATGAAAATGACTTAAAAACTTT